GGCCTTCTCAGGAGGCGTCGGGACTTCTCAGAAGGCCTCGCGCCTTCTGAGAGGTTTGTTTCTATCTTCGGGGAAGGCTTCGAAAACTTCCCAGTGGGCAGGGGGGCTTCTGAGACTTCTGAGAGGGCCCGACCCCTGTCACTTCCCCCCTTGGCTCGCCGCCGAGCCGCGCTGGCAGCTGCGGTGGTGCCCGTGTCAGTGGTCTCCGGGTGTCCCCGTCATCACTCTCCCGTGGCGCGGCCCGGGCTTGGAAGACCGCCTCCTCTGCCGATGCTGGCTTCTCCAGGGCCTCTCCACATCCACGGGTCGGGCGGCCTGCTGAGCTCTGACCCTGGATCCGAGCTCCTTCCAAGCTCCACTGCCTCTGCTCGTCCGTCATGCGGGGACCTGCATCGACTTCTCGGAGGAGTGGGTGGAAGAGGCGGACGGGGCAGAGAAGACGCAGGAGAAGGAGGAGCCGTCGCAAAACGCGTGGCTCCTACAAGATACGTACCGCTGGTGGGGAGCCCGTCGCCACATGCCAACTTCCTCAGAACGACGGGCGCACCGTCACTGGTGCAGGCCGCGTCGCATGGGACGTTTGAGTTCATCTCCTCGCAAGGCGAACTTGCCGCCACAATCGCAATGAATAGCATGGACTCGACCACCTAATGATTCGTCATGGCGTCGACGACACCAAAACGGGGGCCCGAGAGGCCCACGGCGCTCCGGGCGAATGCCTGCTCGGCCATGTCGCAGCGGAGAAAGCCGTACGCAGATCGCATCTCGATCGCCGCGGCGAAGCAGGCAGCACACTGCACAAGCCCCTGCGCCCTACCCAGCACGGCTGGCGGTGACGCGGGCCAGGATATTCAGGAGCACACGGTCGCGCCGATGCAAGTTTCTGGTGTTGTCTACTCGTGTGCATTGTCGCGGCTGTGTGCTCGCGCAGACAGACTATGTACACTGCCCCCGACGCCCTCGAGTCGGTCCCTGTGGGATGGGAGGTCACCAGAGGCCCAGATTGGCAGCGGCTTTGCTCACGACGCGAAGGGGTCCTGGTAAGGAGGAGGAGGAGGAGGAGGACGACGAGGAGGAGCAGGAGGAGGTGGAGGAGGAGAAGGAGGAGGAGAAGGAGGAGGAGGAGGAGCAAAAGGAGGAGGAGGAGGAGGCGTGGGACGGGGGAGGGGGAGCCGCACTGTCGTCGGTGGACATGCGCTGTCGGCCCACGACGCCCTCTCCTGCCCCTGCACTGCTCCGTGTGCCCGCCCCCCCCTTCCCAGCTAGGGTTGGCAGCTAACCCAGACGTCGCTAGGCAGGCGAGAGCGAGCGCGGAGGGGCGCCCGCGTGGCTCCAGGTAAGAACTTGCACAGGCGCGCCGGCTCGACGCCGGCGGGTGTGGAAGCAGTGCTTGGGACGGTTTGGAGGCCGCTGCTGAGGAAGGAGGAAGACGAGGAGGAGGGGGAGAAGGGGAAGGAGGAGGAGCAGGAGGACGATGGGGAGGAGCGGGAGGACGAGGAGGAGGAGGAGGAAGAGGAGGGGAAGGAGCAGGAGGAGGAGGAGAATGAGGAGAATGAGGAGGAGGAGGAGGAGGAGGAGGACAAGGAGGAGGAGGAGGAGGAGGAGGAGGAGGAGGAGGAGGAGGAGGAGGAGGAGGAGGAGGGGGCGGAGCCCTCGCCCACCTCGCGCCCCTCCAGCCAGCCTCCGGAGGCTGCCGGCGTGCCGCCTGGAGCGGCGAGGCCCAAGAGTCGATGCGGTCCGTGTAGAGCACGCAGAACCTGGCCGGAGCCCGCCTCTTTGTGCGGCAGGAGAGCGGCGGCCCCGGATCTTCCACGATAAGTGCGGGCACGGTGTATTGAAGGGGCCCCAGGACATACCAATAAATACACGCAAATAACAAGATCCCCCATATTTCCCAATATTTTTCAAATTGTTGTCTTCCCCCCCACTTCCCATATTTTCCCATATTTTCTGGGGAGTCGACGATTGATTGTGTCTGTGTGTTTTTTCCTCTCCTGATGTATATCCTTACTTATCCACTGCGTCTTGGACTTTCTGGGAATGGGCGCCAACAGGCCGCGGCACAGTGGATATGGATAAAACATCGGACCTCTAGGGGCAACACTGTTTTATCCCATCCATGGCGCGTCTGGTATCGGAAGAAGGGAACCCGAAACTCCAAGACGCAGCGGATGAGGCTAACAATCTTCGGCGATACACGCGCTGCTCCCCGCCCCCGTGCGACAAGAGAACGGCGGCCCCAGACCTTCGACGAAGAACGCGCTGCTCCCGGTCGCGGCCCGTGCTGAGTACGCAGAGGCTGGCCCCACACCCGCCCTTTGCGACAAGAACGCGATGGCCGCAGATCTCCGATGCTACATATATATATACACATATTTATACACTTAGACACACATATATATATACATACATACATACATACATACATACATGTATATCTGTATACATGTGTATGTACGTCTAGATTTGTAAGTCAAGGTATATATATATATATACATGGGTGTAAATATATTTGTGTATATCTATATGTAGGTAGATAGTGTGATCGATCGACAAGGATGCGTTGCTCAGTCACAACGTCCCTTTGTTCCTCGTGATCGGCCGGGCGGGCCCGCTGCCGGGGCCCCGGGGCCATCGGCAGCGAGTCCGATTTGGGATGTCGCTCAGGTGGGGCGGGGTGGGGGCGTAGGCGGAGGAGGAGGCAGAGGCGGAGGAGGCGGAGGCGGAGGAGGCGGAGGAGGCGGAGGAGGCGAAGGAGGCGCTGGACGGCGGCACGACCGTCCTGGAGTCTCGTGAGGTTGCAGACAATGACCGACAGAGACGAGCCAGTGCACAGCATGTGGTGTTACCACCGGGCCTGCCGCACCACCCCCGCCAGAGGGCGTGAGTGGTATACGGGCGACCCCCACGAGGGCCAGGACGCAGTGGCGAAGCTATGCAGAATGGCGGCACTCAACGGTGCTGTACTCGTCCCATCCCTTCTTCCTGCCCATTCCCGATCATCACGGCGAGGCCTTATCAAGGTATGGTCAAACAAAGCCGAGACTATGCGGATGCCTGACCAACGGGACAAAGTTCTTCGACATTCTGCTGCCGCACGGGTGGAAGTAATTGCTCTACGGAGCACCATTGGCAGTACCAATGGTCGTAGCACAACGGTGCGCAATCCTGACGGCCAAGGCGAGACCAGAATCGACTACATTGCGACGTCCTTGCGTACGGGTGACCAGGACTTCGCTACAGCTATCAGTGATACTTCGATGGCATGGGGACCAATTCGTGACCAAAGGATCTTGGACGCATCAGCCCGTGTGGACCGAGTTGTTCCTCAGCGTGCTCCGCCCTAACACATGAAGCCGTGGGACAACCCCCTATGTGATGGTGTTGTAAAGACCTGGCAGATGTGGTCCGAGGCTGAGGCGGAGGCTGGAGGCAATGGCGGACCCACCATACCGCTGATCAGCAGGGTGCCTCAGTACCTAGACAGCCTCATCGACGAGTTGTGGGATATGGATCTAACAATGACAGACAGTTCTCCAACGGAGCTTCTTGGTCAGCTCTCCGACGGGCAACAGTGAATGAGCGAATACTATATCATTACGACCTCTACCCGATCATCGCGCCACCTCGTGGACGGAGTGGCCAGCGCAGTATCCAAAAGATCGCACTACGTACTGACAGCAAAGATAGTCATCATTTGCAGCTTGGGTGCTTGAGTGGTCTCAGTATTACGAGTGGCCAACTTATTGACTTTTCTGCTCTTAGTGACCATGCCCCAGCTGACAAGCCCCAAGCCAGACTCTCATCAGCGGCCGCCGGCTTCAACCTGAACAGCAACGAGCGATGAACGCTGAAGGAGATGGCCAAGCTGAGAGTGCAGCACGAGGACGCCTACCGCTCGTGCGCCAGGGACAACAACGTATTGACGGATATGGAGAACAAGTGCAAGCTGGAGCTGGACTACGACCGTTCCACCAAGCCGTTCGACGTGGAGGGAAAGGCTGCACAGGCCAAGGCGGATGTGAAGGCAGTGGACTACCTCGACCACCCCCTGGGCAAGAAGCCCGACGTGATGATGCTTGCGGTACTCTACCACCTCCATGGGGTGCTGAAGGAGAACGCCGACCGCGTGGGGGCGGTCATGGACGTGGGCGTCGTGGTGGCCGTGCAGGGGGCCATGGAGGCTGGTGGAGCTGCTGGCGCTGTAGCTCCCCAGATGAACTCGCCTCAGGCCATGAGTTGCTTCATGATTAAGTGCATGGATGAAGTGAAGGCGGGCAAAGTTCGTTGGACTTTGACGGCAGGTCGCCATCGGAAGCTGATCGAGTCCGATGGCATGCAGAAACAGGTGATGAAGTGGCAGAGGAAAGTAGGCCTAGTGATCGACGACGGCTATGCCCCCCGCTCCGAGTGCGCCTTTTGTCGTGGATCAGGCGTTCAGGGCAAAGCCAAAGGTATAGGGCAAGAAGAAAAGTGAATGAGTCGCATGATTGGGAGGCTCCCGTTGAGAGCCCCCTGAATTAGTGGCTTGGGCTTTGAGCTACAGTTTTGTTTAGGTGAGAATCACGTTCAGTGCCGTTTAATAGCTCGTCACCAGTCCAACGGTCAGAGGGCCGATGACTGACGTGCGAAGCTGCCCACCAGTGGGTGGGCGCCTCGTGTGTTGCGTCCGTGCACGCACACGCGCGCAGGCCTCCCTGTCGGCAGGCCTTGTGAGGGCTCGCGAGACCTCGTAGATTGGGGTTGCGTTGTCAAAAAAAAGGAGGGGGGGGAGGAGGAGGAGGAGGAGGAGGAGGAGGAGGAGGAGGAGGAGGAGGAGGAGGAGAAGGATGGGGGGGGGGGCGATAAACGGGGTGGAAGAACGGCGCGCCTCTCGGGCCCCAAAGGGTCCGTAAGGCCCCTTGAGGGACCTTAAACGGACCCCTTCAGGGGCCCTCTCCTCTTCGAGGCCCAAAAGGGGCACCACAAAAGGGCCCCCCACAGCGCCCTAAGGGGCTCCTACGGGCACGGCCACCTGTTGGACCCAAAAGGGCACCTCTAGTGGCCCTATAGGACACCTTTTCTGCACCCCCCTCTGCCCCCGCCTGCATCGACGCCCCCTTACGCAACGCCCAACCCGTGGAGAACAGCACGACTCCGGAGGATCAGGAGATCCGGGGCCGCGTACTTTTTGGCAACTGCACCGGGCTTCTGGGGCGCCGGCTGCGGGAGGCAGCCGAGGCGTCAAGCGGGCTGAAGAAACAGACGCCATGCTCTGCCTCTTTGGAGCCCTCGACGGGCCCTGGGGCCATCAACAAACACGACTGGGGATGAAAAACCAAGAGGTCCGATTCACTATTGTTCTAAGAACTGAGACCCCTCCCCCTCCACCAACTATGTGGGCAATGACGGCCTCGACGACGACCTCGCCGACGACGATGACTGTGACGGCCCGGTGAGGGCCCCAGCAGCGACCCCTCCCTCCTCCCCTTCAAGACAACCCCCAAACCTCTCCTGGGCTGCAGTTTGGTGGGGTTCCAACGGGGTTTGGGCGCGCCCCAGGAGGCCTCCCCCCCCCCCCGCAAAACGCCACAGCACCAGGACCCTCGATCCTCCTCCCGCGGTTCTCGTACTTCCCTCTCGGGGGCGGCCAAGCGGGGGGTGTCCAAGAGTGGGGAGGGGGGGGGTGGCGCAAATCATGGCCGGCGGCATGTGCGCGGCCCAGGGCGGGGGCCAGGGACGCATTGAAACGAGAACAGGCTCCATAAAAATCTGGGGAGATACCATGGCCCCCGTCATGATCTCCACCCCCCTTCTAGCCGCCCCCGCCCCTCCGGCCGTGCTCCCCGCCCCTCGCCCCGAGGATGGCTTCGGCAGCTGCATCTTCTCTTCGGGGGGGGGGGGGGGGGGGGGCGGTGGTGCGGCCTCGGCAACTTCTCCTGCGCAGCTGCCCGCTTAACTCCGCAGCCTCCCCCTCCTCCTCTCCTCCTCCTCCTCCTGCTCCTTCTGCTCCTCACTCCTCCTGCTCCTGCACCTGCTCTCCTTCTGCTCCTGCTCCTGCGCCTGCCCTCTCCTGCTACCTGCTCCTGCCTCCCGCTCCGCTCCTCCTCCTCCTCCCCTCGCTCCTCCTCCTCCTCCCCTCCCCCTCCTCCCCCTCCCTCCTCCTCCTCCTCCTCCTCCTCCTCCTCCTCCTCCCTCCTCCTCCTCCTCCTCCCTCCTCCTCCTCCTCCTCCTCCTCCTCCTCCTCCTCCTCCTCCTCCCTCCTCCTCCCTCCTCCTCCTGCCTCTTCCGCCTCCTCATCTCCTCCTCATCCTGCTCCGTCTCGCCTCTCCTCCTCCTCCTCCTCCTAGCTCCTCCTCCTCCTCCTTCCTGCTGCTCCTCCTCCTCCTCCTCCTCCTCAACTCCTTCTCCTCCCGTCTCGGGGGCGTCCAAGAGGGGGACGTCCAAGAGGGCGGGTCGGACATCATGGCTCGAAGGGCGTGCGTGGCCCGGGGGAGGCAAAACACCAGGGCCTATGTCATTGCCCCCGCCAGGATATCCACCCACGTTAGTCATCACCCCCCACTTGAACGTCTCCGATCGTTCCCGTCCTCCCCCTCCCTGTCCTCCGCCCTCTCGCTTCTCTGTGCTCCACTCGGCCCCTCCTCCTCGCCCTCGCCCTCCGGCAGGGCCTCGGCAGCTGCTTCTGCGCCCTCTGCAGCCAGAGCACCCCGTGGAAGTAGGCCGAGTCCGCAGGGCAGCTGCGCGACGAATCCAGCCACGACGCCACCTCGCTTCGCGTACCCTCCTCCTTCACCGACTCCTCCTCCTCCTCCTCCTCCTCCTCCTCCCTCCTCCTCCTCTGCTTCCTCCTTCCTCCTCCCGCCTCCTCCTCCTTCTCCTCCACTCCTCCTCCTCCTCCTCCTCCTCCTCCTCCTCCTCCTCCCTCCCTCCTCCTCCTCCTCCTCCTCCTCCTCCTCCTCCTCCTCCTCCTCCCCTCCTCCTCCTCCTCCTCCTCCTCCTCCTCCTCCTCCTCCTTCCTCCTCCTCCTACCTCCTCCTCCTCTCCTCCTCCTCCTCCCTCCTCCTCCTCCTCCTCCTCCTCCTCCCCTCCTCCTCCTCCTCCTCTCCTCCTCCTCCCTCCTCCTCCTCCTCCTCCTCCTCCTCCTCCTCCTCCTCCTCCTCCTCCTCCTCCTCCTCCTCCTCCTCCTCCTCCATCCTCCTCCTCCTCCTCCTCCTCCTCTCCACCGCCTCCTCCTCCTCCTCCCTCCCTCCTCCTCCTCCTCCTCCCTCCTCCTCTCCCTCCTCCTCCTCCCCTCCCTCCTCCTCCCTCCTCCTCCTCCTCCACCTCCTCCTCCCCCCCCTCCTCCTCCCTATCCTCCTCCGCCTCTCCTGCTCCTCCCCTCCTCCTACCTCCTCCTCCTGCTCCTCTCCTCCGTCTTCCCCTTCTCCTTCTCCTCCTCCTCCTCCTCTCCTCCTCCCCTCCTCCTCCTCCTCCTCCTCCTCCCTCCTCCTCCTCCTCCTCCTCATGCTGCTCCTTCTCCTCCCTCCTTCTCCTCCTCCTCCCCCTCCTCCTCCCTCTCTCCTCATCCGCCTCACCATCTTCCTCACACCCTTCACCACCTCCCCCTCCTCCTTCTCCTCCTCCTGCTCTTCCTCTCCATCATCCGCCACGTCATCGCCCTCAATATTCCTGCTCTTCTTTTACTCATCCATCCCGCATTCCCTACTCCGTCCCCTGCTCTCCCCCTCTTTCTCCTCCTCGTCCTCCCTCCCCTTCCCTCCTCCTCCTTCTTCTCCTCCCCTCCTCCTCCCTCCTTCTCCTCCTCCTCCTGCACCTCCATCCAATCTCCTGCCCTCCATCCGCCTCTCCTCCAATCCTCCTGCTCCTCCTCCTCCTCCGCCCCCTTTCCCGCCTCCTCCTCCTCCTCCTCCTCCTCCTCCCTCCCCTTCCTCCTCCTCCTCCTCCTTCTTCTCCTCCTCCTCCTCCTCCTTCTCCTGATCCTCCTCCTCCTTCTCCTGCCCCCCCCACCCACCCACCCACCCTTTTCACCTCTGCCTCATCCCTCTCCTCTCTAAAACGCCTCCTCCGCCCCACTCCGTTTCTCGTTATCGTCCTCCTCCAACACCCCTCCTTATAAAGCACTCCTCCCTGTCGCACCCCCAGGCGTGTTGGTAGGGCGTGTTGGGTATTTGTTGCCTTAGACTGCTTCATTTTCTGTGATCAGGAACCTGAGACTTGCACCACGTTCACGGATGGAGGGCGGGCGGCTTTCGCAATGTTGTTCTCGTCGTAGCGCCGCACACACTCGTTCTCACACGTTTCATCCAGTTCAAAGATGGAGGGTGGTTCGTTTTCCACATGCGGCTGTCGACCTGGTACCGCACACATTCGCCTTGAAATGTTGCAACTGTTTGACGTATGAAGGGCGGGCGGTTTTCACAGGGTTGCTCTCGCTTTGGCGCCGCTCACATTCGTCTTACAAGTTTGCAACACAGCAATGTCAAGGATGAAGGGCGCTTCTTAATAAACGTGTGGAACTCGCCTTAGCGGCGCGCGCAATCATTGTTGAAATTTTTCAGCCGTTTCAAGAAATCGCTTGGTCCAAGTACCAGGACTTGTGTTCTGGCAGAATTTAGGATAGTCAGGAGGCAGCAGTCATGTTCACTCGGGGTGACCAAGACGAAGGAAGGGTGCGCAGTCACGGTGGAAGATGGTCAGGGCGCAACAGTCACGTTGACTCGCGACGCTGAACGTCCCAGGAATGGTGTTGCGGCACGATGAAAGATTATCAGAGGGTTGCTTGTCTTCCAATGTGCACCTCCCGTTATGAATATGAATGCTTTTCGGGCCCTATGTGTGAAGGGGAAGTTGGAGGGATGGTGCATTGCAACATCGTTGATAACGCGCCTTGGAAGTGTACTAGTCCTCCTCCTCCTCCTCCTCCTCCTCCTCCTCCTCCTCCTCCTCTCGCTCACTCTCCCCCCCCTCCCAGGCCTCCGACGCAGAACTCTGGACCCCATCCAGGGACACCCTCTCCGGCGGCAACTCATGGGAGCCTCCTATGCCATCCTGTCTGCTCCTGCGAATCGTCGCTCATCGACGCTAAATCGACGCTGAATCGACGCATACCGACGCTCTAGCCGACGCTGAGTCGGCGCTGTCTCATCGACCCCCAGACGCCAATCGCCGCTAGTCGGCACTAAAGACAGAGTAGAGCGGATACAGTGCGGGCGCGGCCGCAAGAAACCCCTCGCAAGAAACTCAACCCTGAGAACCAGTGCGCGAGGTGCACCTGAGGGGAAACCTAGAGCACCCTGAACGCAGCAGCTCCTTCAACGGCTGCGGAAAGTCACCGCGCCGCGCGAGGAGCGAAGAAACCCAGGATATCCCGACGAAAAGCATACGGTTTCTTGATGCGCGCCCCCACTGTATGCCAGGCTCCCATGATTCGCCACCGAAGTCCTCTTTTTGGCGGCGAACGCGGGGGGGAGGTGAGAAGGGGCGGCCCTTCTCAGAAGGCTCGGAAGTCTTCCAGCCTTCTGAGAAGTTTTGTGAGCTCCCCCCAATGACGCAAAGCAACTCCTCAGAAGGCCGAAAAGCTTCTGCGAAGTCCCGCCGCCTTCTGAGCAGGCCGTCTCCTTCTCGTTTCCCCCCCCTCGCTCGCCGCCGATCTTTGTCGCCGCGGACGGCTGCTCGACGGCCCCGGAGGCCCTCCCAGTGGCGCCTGCAGATGCCCACGGAGGCGCCCTGAGGAGGGCGAGGCCGCCGCCGTGCTCTCTGGGCGCCTGGATCCTCCGGCAGAGGCCCTCGGCATCGCCGGTCCGCCGCCCAGCCCCCCCCTCTCGTCCTTTCCCTCCTCTTCCCCCCTCCTCTTCTTCCCAATGCATTGGGCGCCAAACGTCTGTGCAGCACCCTGTACGATCGCCACCACGCTGGTGGCGACTGGCCTGTGCACAATTCCAAGAGGTGTGCAGCGTCACCTGAAGCGACCACACAGGACATCCACAAGGCCGTGCCGCCCACGAAAGAGGGCAGACAACCCAACCACTCCCTCGGAGACGGCGAAATCGATGATTGACCTCAACACCTCCAGTTTCGACGACGGCGAGCATCACGGCCTGTAGCTGAGAGGAGACGGAAGGGGGAGAAAGAAGGCCCGACAGGTCCCGTACCCCCGTCGCGTGATGGTCCCCCTGTGCCTCATCGACTCGGCCACTGGGGCAGGAGGGGCCTCGGGGTTTAGCCGACGTCGTCCCCCCTGATCGCAAACCTCGACCGAGACACAGGTCGCCGCCACGGGGGCGGTCAACCTGCCAGGAAGAAAAGAGATGGGGAAGCTACAGGCCGCTCAGCCCCCGAAACATGCGGCACAGCCTCCTAACATACCAATTTGAGCTGGGGGGGCCGCAATGTACGTGATCACCACCACGCTGGTAGTAACCTTGGCCCCCTTCACATGTGGAACGATGCCTGTTGCGATGAACCGCAGGCCCTTCTGGCCGTTGACCCCTGGCTTCTTGCAGGGGGCCGTCACACTCTTGAATTGCTGGGAGGTCGCTGTTCCGCACGCCCGTCACCCGACGACCGCGTCATTGGTCATGTCGATTCAGGTCCAGGGGCGTCTCAAACCTCACAAGCCTGTGGCCCGTCCGTACCGAGAAAGCCTCTGTTCGGCCTCGAGCGCTGGAAAGACAACGGACCCAGGGCACACGGACTTCGACGGGGACCGAGCACGGCACCGCGGGCACCGCCTGGCCCCCGCGGGGCCCACAAGATCATGGCCAAGCTTGGGATACACAGTCTGCAGCACAGGCGCCTTGAAAGGCTTAGCACCTGGCCGTCGTCACCGTGCCCCACGAACTCAAAGAAGCCCCGGCTCTCACGGTGAAATGCGCCACGCCCTCCACCAGAGCTTGCGAGAGCTGCAGCACCTCACGCACAGCGGGCTCCAGCCGACCTCTGCCCGCAGCAAACTTGGCCACCCTCCTCATCCTCCCCCCCATCCTTCCTCTCAGCCTCCTCCCCCCTCCTTCTCATTCCTTCCCCCACTCAACATTCCCCCCACCATCCTCCCCCCATCCTTTCCCTCCCCTCATCCTCCGCACATCCTTCCCCTCCCCCCCCCACCCTCATCCTTCCCCTCCTAAACCTCCCGCCAACCTTCCCGTCATCCTCCTCCCCCCATCCTTCCCCTCCCCCCCTCGTTCGGCAGCGAGCGAGGGGGTGAAACAAGAAGGAGAAGGCCTTCTCAGACGGCAGCGGGACTTCTCAGAAGCCCTCGCGCCTTCGAAAAGTTTGTTCTGTCTTCAGGGAAGGCTCACAAAACTTCTCTGAAGGCGGGGGGGCTTCCGAGCCTTCTGAGAAAGCCTTCTCCTTCCCTCGCTCGCCGCCGACTCATGGGGAAATCCACAGGTGCCGATACATCTGCTCCCCGGACCTCTCCTGGGGCGCGATCTGACCAGGATTTCTAGGCGCATCCAGCGGTGGCGGCGAGAGCCTCCCAGGAGGCCCAAAATTGGGAAAGCGGGCGAAGGGTAGAGGTAAGGGTGCTTTTTCCTCCAGTGACCTCATCCCCCCCCGCCCCCCCAAGCCCCGTCCGCATCGCCGACCCGTCGCCCGAACTCTGCCCAAGGGGTGCTCTCGGGGATCTTCTGACCCGGGTCAATCCAGACCCGGGTCAGCAGGAAGCCGAAAAACTGCAATGCAGGAAAAAAACACTGCAACGCAGGTCTTCGCAAACCCGGGTCTTCCATATGCGCGGCCGCCTCGCGGCCACGAGCGGCTCGCTAACCCGCGTCAGCCAGAGGAGGTCTTCGCAGGATCCTGCAGGATCCGGTGCCCTGGCTGACCCCCGTTTGCATTGACCCCCGTCTCTTGAGCCCCCCGTGCTCCCTGTCCCAGAGTTCCCCAGCGTGTCGCGCCGCAGCGACGAGGAGCCTCTTCGGGGCGGGCCCAGCGCTGTGGCGGCGAGAGGGCCGCCCCGAGGCACAAGCATGGAGAAGGACAGCGCACATGCAGAAACACACATAAAGCCGATCCTGCTCATTCCCATCCACCTCCACCTCCACAACTTCCTTCCCCCCCCCTCCACCTCCACCACCTCCTTCCCCTTCTTCCACCACCTCCTTCACCATCTCCTCCACCTCCACCACCTCCACCTCCACCTCCACCACCTCCTCCCACCACACCTCCTCCTCCTGCTCCTGCTTCTCCACCTCCACCACCTCCTTCCAGCCCACCCCTCATCCTTGCCCCGCCCTTCTTCCGTCTCCTCCTCCTCCTCCTCCTCCTCCTCCTCCTCCTCTGCCCCCTCCCGCTTCCTCTTCCTCCGCCCCGTCGCCTATCCATATATGTCCTCCTCTTCCTCCTCCTCCTCCTCCTCCTCCTCCTCCTCCTCCTCGTCATTCTACTCCTCCTACTCCTCCTCCCCTCCCCCCGCCATCACTCTAATCCTCCCCCCCGCCTCCCCATGCTGCTTCTCCCGATCCCCACCCACCCACCCACACACATCCTCCTCCTATCACCCCCCTATCCCTCCTTATATCTCCCCCTCCCTCCTCCTCTCTCTCTCTCTCGCTTTTTCTCCTCCTCCTCCTCGTCGTCCTCCTCCTCCTCCTCCTCCTCCTCGTCCTCCTCCTCCTCCTCCTCCTCCTCCTCCTCCTCCTCCTCGGGGGGTGGCCGCCCTGGGGTCCAGCATCTCCTGCCACAGCGGCTGCTCCGCCGCCGCGTGGGTCTTCGACCCGAACGCCGTGGCCGTCGCCGCCTTGGATCGAGGATCGAGGAGGATCGAGGATCGAGGATCGATGAGGATCGAGGATCGCGGATCGAGCACTATGCAGGAGGATCATCCAGGAGGGTCAAGACTCGGGGCTCGTCCAGGAGGATCGAGGATCGAGGACTGAAGCTGATCGGCCTCTCTCGCCCTCTCTGCCCTGTGGCCCCCCCCCGCCCATAGGTCGGCGGGCCCAGCCCCGTCGGCCAAAGGCCCCCGGAGCGCGGTGGACGAGAGGTGGCAGGCCACCAGCCCCCACAACCCGCAGGAGGGCCGCGGGACTCCCACTAGCTGCCCGGGGCCGGACGCCCGCGGCCCGCTCGCCCCCGACTCTGGGCTCTGGCGAGGAGGCTCCAAGAGCCTCCTTGCCAGAATCCAGAGCCGTCGTCGTCGTCGTCGTCGCCGTCGTCGTCGTCGTCGTCGCCGTCGTCGTCGTCCGCGTCCTCGTCGTCCTCGGCGTCCTTGTCGTCGTCGTCGTCGTCGTCGTCGTCGTCGTCGTCATCGTCGTCCTCGTCGTCGTCGTCGTCGTTGTCCTGAGTCGACCTCTCTGAGGCCCAGGCCCCCCCCCCGCGTCGCGAGAGCACACCGCAGCGAAAAAACGCCGCTGCCCAACCTGCGTCCCGGGGGTGTCCTGCCCGGCCCCGGGGATCGCCAGAGCACGGCTCGGCCAGAATTAAGTCGGGCGTGTCCCCCCACAGGGGGGCTTTCGACGAAAAATTACAACTACTCAAACAATACCCACACATGGCCACAAAATGCTCCAAAAAATGTCTTCCGACTATCTGTTGGCTATTTTTGAATTTTCCCCCTGTAGACGGACGGGCCCGACTTCAAGCTAGAAGAAGAACAACGCCATGAGCATAAACTTTTGGCGCTCCGCGCGGATTTCGTGGCTCTGCGCTGGACCCCCCTCCTGGCGCGCAGAGCGCGCCAGTGGCGGCGCCGGAGGCGCTGCCAGGGCGGTCCAGCGCCGATCCGAGAATCCGCGCGGGCCCCCGATGCCCAGCCCTGGGATCGTAACAGCACAAATCAGCACGACAAGCAGGTGGGGGGGAAGGGGCCTGCCGAGACCTCTCCGGAGGAGGGGGGGCCCAGTCGGGGGTCCTGCTCCGAGGATGCTGCCTCGGGGTGCTCCGCAAAGGGAATGCGCCTCTCGCGGCGGGCAGGCGGATGGCCGGCAGCAGCCAAGCGAGCGCCTCCTCCTCCTCCTCCTCCTCCTCCTCCTCCTCGCTCCTCCTCCCTCATGCTCCTCCTCCTCCTTCCCCCTCCCCCTCCTCCTCC